GGACTGGACGGTCTGGCTGCTGATTATCCCGGCCTGGTGCAAAGCACTGTGGGTTAGAAGGTGCCAGACGTGCTCCAGGATGGAAGCCCGCTTTTGTCGTGGTGAGTTGAATGAGGCCTGGCAGGGTTGGCGTGACTCCCATCATGCTTTGCTTCATGTTAGCACGACTCCCATCATGCTTTGCTTCATGTTAGCACGACTCCCATCATGCTCCACCTTGTGGTTAAGCAGTGGGAGTTGGGGGCACGGGCTGGGCATGCAGCTGTGCGAAATCACAGCTGCTTCCCACAATGCCGTGGTGGTGCCCATCTTTGGGCCTGGCCTCCTGGGATCTAGCCCTGGCTCCCTCCCCTTTCAGAGATGAGAACAGAACCCAGGAGTCCTGACTCCTAGATCACTGGCCTGTGCTGTCTCCTTCTGCACTCCCCCGTACCCAGCATGGGGCCGATGCCCACCCCCGCGGTGTTACGCCCAGGGCCGGGCAGGGGCCCAAACCCTGCACACGCAGCCAAGCTGGCTCAAAGCTTTCCCTCAAATCTCTCCCCTGCCATTTCAAAAATGCAGAGAGGTCAAAATGAGCCCATGTCACGGGCCCGGCTCGGTTATGATGAAAACCTGGGCGGGACGGTTACTCGGGCGAGCTCCCAGAAGGGCCAAGAGCCCCGTGGCTGAGGCGTCACTTGGCAGATGACGACACCAATTCAAGGCCCTGCTCAGCCTGATTCACACTAGCAGCTTGACCCTGACCCCTGGGCTAGTCAGGGTCGAGGAGCGGCTCCGCTGACTTCCTCCAGCGGGGGGCGCTCACGGGAGGGGGGGTGTGATGCCGGTTCAAGGCCTGGCTGTGAATCTTACATCCCAGCCATGAGCCTGCCCTGTTGGGCTACCCTGGGGTCTCCCCCCCAGGACCCGCCTGTTCCATATCGGAGGTTGCCAGCCCCACGTCTGACCCGGGAGGGCTGCACCCTCGCAATGTGGAACAGCAGACACCGGGGCCCCTCTGACAGCTGGGTCTCAGCTCCTTGTGCTGGGGACACCAGGATGGGCTGGTCCCCGGCCTGGGCTGGCTGGACCCTCCTGAGCAGGGATGGAGCGGACGAGTGATGCCAATGGAGCGGCATCGCTTTACGCCAGCTCTGGATCTGGCCCCTTCTGCCCCAGATCCCTCGGTCGGCCCCACCACCTTGGCCATCCTCCTTCCCCTATGGGAAACCCTGGGGCCAACGCGCCCACTTCCCAGTGATTCCCAACTGGCTTCTGCCTCAGCGCTAGGCCCAGAAGGTGCCTCTGACCCTAGCCCGGGGGCTCTGGAGCTGAGAAAGCCGCTCCCTGGCCTGGCCTGCCAGACCCACGGTGAGCTAGTCTGGATTTACACACCCGAGTCAATGAAATCAGAGGCGCAGATACCCAGCTGGTGTAAACGGGCATAGAGCCATTAAAGTCAATGAAGCTACATCAGTTTACCCCACTTGGGAATCTGCTTTTCAGAGAGTGATGTCAGATTTACTCTTTGGTGTCCATGAGAGCAGGATTTTGCTTCATCCGAGTTACTCTGGATGTACGCGCCGGTTTTGGTGGCGCTAACTCCTGCTTTCCACCCTGGCCACGGTGGGAGCAGACTTGGACATCCAGGGAGCCACTGCGGGTTTACAGCCCAGCGTAACCGAGAGCCAGATCCGGATTCGGCACCGTCATGCCAGCGTCGCTGAGCTCCACCCCCGCTCTCTCTCTCGTCGCTAGTCCCACACCCTGAACCTCGCCTGTCCCTTGCTGACGTTGGCTGTTGGGTGAGTGGCAGCGCGGGGGAGAGCAGATGGTGGGCACCGAGCCAGCGCCGGGAGAACAGCCGCGCCTTGAAATGTGAGGAGAGGGGTGGCCAATCCGCTGCAGGGATGCCACCCGGCAAGCATTTGGGCAGCGCGTATGTCGCCTTGAAATGTGTTGCATGAGCGGGTGGGAGTGTGGGGGGGGGGAGACATGTCAATTTCCATTTCTCCCAAGGAAGGAGCGGCAGATGGGAATGGAAATCGGGGAGTGGCAGAGGGGCCCAGCTGGTGTAAACAGGCGAGGGATAAACCCTACACCGAATCACAACGCCTTGGATCTGGCCCAGCTGACACGGGCAGCCACATGGTGAGGAGGCAGGGAGAGGAATGCTCTGCCTCTCGGATACCGGGTGTGAGTTTGGGCATGTGCAACATGCACGGGTGTGCATCTGGGTGTATGTGTGTGCGCTGTGTACAGATGTGTGCAATGTACAGGCGTGTGCATCTGTGCACGTGTGAGTGTGCAGGATACAGACATGTGCAATGTGCAGGGGTGTGCATATGTGTGTGTGCAGGATACAATCGTGGGCAAGGTACAGGCATGTGCATCAGTGTGCATGCATGTGTGCTGCGTACAGACATGTGCGTTATGCAGGTGTGTGCGTATGTGTGCATGCTACAGAAATGTGCAATGTACAGGCAGGGGCATCTGTGTGCATGTGTGTGTGCCGTGTATAGACATGTGCAGTGTACACACATGTGCATCTGTGTGCATGTGTGTGTGCAGGATACAGACGTGTGCCATGTGCAGGCATGTGCATCTGTGTGCATGTAGGATACAGATGTATGCAATGTACAGGCGTGTGCATCTGTGTGCATGCGTGTGTGCAGTGTACACACATGTGCAGTGTATACACCTGCATCTGTGTGCAACTGTACATGTGTGTGCGTGAAAACTCATTCAGCTGGCACCTCAGGGCCAGGCCCTTAGCTGGGAGAAATCAGCGGAGCTTGGCAGGCTCCGATTTCCAGCCCTCCATCTCTGCAGCTCTCTCCTCTCCATGCTCCGTCGCTCCCCCCTGCCATCCGTTCCCCCCACCCTTCCCGCCTAGCCCTCTCTCCAGCCCCATCCCGCTCACAGCCCAGCCCGTCTGAGATCCCAGCCCAGTCTCAGCGGGGTGCCCCCGTGCTGTTGGGGGGCAGAGTCAGTTATATCCTGAGATGAGGGAGGTTGTCTGGGCGCGTCCCCCGCAGAGCTGAAAGGAAAAGGAACAGGAATCGGAGTTAAATCGGTTAAGAGGATGCGCTGGACTCTGACGCCCTCTCGGCTCCGGCTCTGTCTGCGAGGAGAAACCAAAGGGGGTGTTACCAGGGCTCCCCTCCCCCCCCAGCCCCCCGGAAAAAGACAGTGCGTCAAACAACAGGAAGCAACGCCCCCCACCCCTGAAATGACATGCCCTGGCTCGCGCTACACAAAGCGGCAGAGAGAAGACAGGGGGTGTTTGCTATAGACCCAGAGGGAGAGAGGCGCCCCAAAACCGGCTCCCTTAGACAGCAGCGCTGGCTTCAACCCCCCCCACCCCACTGTTCCTTCTCTTTTGACCCCCAGTGGGCATGGATGAGCTGGAGCAAAGATCGCACCATGCACCCCAGAGCTGGGGTCACTCTCCCGGGATCCCTTTGGGGTACCTAGGGTTTGGGGCACCCAGTGGGGCAGGATTTGGGGGGCCGAGCGCCTCCTGTTGCTTCCTATGCTGGGACCTGGCTAGGGTTGCCCTACCCTCCAGGATTGTCCTGAAGTCTCCAGGAATTAAAGATTAATCTGTAATTAAAGATTATGTCATGTGATGAAACCTCCAGGAATACGTCCAGCCAAAATTGGCAACCCTAGACCTGGCTCCCTTGGAGGCCAGGGAACTGTCACAGAGCCAGCTCAGCCTGCTAAGGTGGGACTTCCTGTTTTTTCCAGACCTGCTTCCTGTTTTTTCCAACCCTGACTTCCTGTTTATTCCCTGAACCCCACTTCCTGTTTCCATGCAGGAGGACCTGCTCCTCAGGAGGGAATTTCCCAGGCCCAAGAGGAGTAGGGGACTGTCAGTCTGGCCCGGTTCCAACACACGTGCGGCTCCGGTCGCTGCTGGGTGTGTGTTGGGAAGGGGAACTGAGTGGGGGCAGAGGGGTGTGCGCACAGGCAGAGCACATGTGCCCGCATCCACACGCACAGCACATAGGGAGCACATGCATACACATGCGGAGCACACACATGTACACACACACACAGTCTTTCTTCCCTCCCCAACTCCAGATCTCCCTTCTGCTCCTCTGTGTTTATCTGCCGGCTCTCCCCCCACTCTGGCCTAGGGCAGGTGCTCCCCAAACCCAGCCCTGCTCAGGGGCCCCCGTTGCCAGAAATCTGCCCCAGAAAGATGCTCCCTCCTCAAACGTAGCTCCAGGATCCTTCCCACCTGAGTCCTGACTTCCACCCTCCCCCACCGCTCTAACCACTAGACCCCACTCCCCTCCCACCACATGGGGACACGTGGGCCGCCAATCACTTCTCCCCACTCAGCCCCCTCCTGGGACAGGTACAATCCCCCCCCACCCCAGAACAAGCAAGGCAGGCCCCCATCCTAGCCTTGCTCCTCAGCGCCCCCTTGGGATGGGCAGGGTACTGCAGGGTAGCCTTAGGCATGGTTGGGACGCGAGGCGACCTCTAGGGGTGACGCTGGGCAGTGCCGGCTGGAGAGCCTGAGGGAACCGCAGGGTCTGTCTGTGTCCAGCAGCCTCGGCGGCGAGACACGTGATACGCCCCCCCTCCCCAGCACCCCAGGGTTTGCCAGCTTCTCTATTACTTCCTGGGGCCCACACTGACTGCGAGGGGGGCACGCCCCGTACCGAGCCCCTCACACCCTCTCCTTGAAGCACAGCGCCCCCTAGCACCACACGGGGGCCAGCAGTGACAGCAGGGGGCGGGGGAATCTCCTCCATTAGCATCTCCTCCCCCTCCCCCTCCCCTCCCGTGGCATGTTCTCCCCCAAAGGATGGAGCCAAAGCGAGGCACCCAAATCCTTTAGCCCTGGCCCCAGTCATTCCCCCCCCCCCAGCGCCAGGGATCAGGGAGCCGGTTCTGGGGGGTCTCCCGCCGCTTTGGGTGGGAGGTTTGTCACAGCAAGGAGGGAAGCGAACAAATCGGACCCGGACACGGTTGTAAAGAGCAATGAGAATGGGACTCACTGTATGGGACACAGTCATACTGGACCTCCAGGTACTTGTAGGTTCCGGGGCAGGGGTCCGGGAAGGCGTCCGATCCAGCCACCACCACGCACTGCGTCCGGTTATTGCACCTGGGGGAGAGAGGGAGCCCGGGGGCCGATAAATTAAAGACAGTCCCATAGCGATGCTACATAATGGTGCCGAAATGCGGCCACCTCTGGGGTGTGTCAGGGCAGTGCAGAACCCTGGCTGAAACAGGAGCAGGGCTGGGCAGGAGAGGGATGTCAGGAAGCGACGAGGAGATGGCTGGCCTTGGGATGGGGCCAGGAAGCTGGGCTTCATGTCCTGACTCTTGTGAGAAACATGGGGAGGGCGCGGGGGGCGGGGGCTGTCTTCAGTGACCTGCAGGGGGTCAGGGCCTTGGTTTTATGTCTTGCCCTAAAGGCAGCACATTCAAGCCTCAGACTGGGAGTCTGGACAGTTCAGGGGAGTGGTGCCTAGGGGTTACAGCGGGGAGGGCTGGGGGTCAGGACAGCAGGGCTCTATTCCCATGTCTAGGGAGTGGCGCCTAGGGGTTAGAGTAAGAGGGTTGGGGGTCAGGACACCTGGGTTCTAGTCCCACATCTGGGGAGTGGTGCCTAGGGGTTAGAGTGAGGCTGAGGGAACTGGGGGTCAGGACACCTGGGTTCTCTTCCCAGCCCTGACACAGAATCGGCGTGCAGAAACCCATTCCTGTTTTGGTGTCTCGGTTTCCACAGCTGTGAAATGTGGAGATGGCACCGAATGAGCCCCGTCTGCAAGGCGTGATGTACATCTGCCCGGCTGGAGGTGTCTATGGTGTCTCAATCCAGGGCAGACAATCCCCAGGGCTGTCTCGCCTTTCGCCCCCTCCCACTGAGTATCTCAGCCTGAGCCCAGAGTAAAAACGATTTCCTCTGCTGGGCCCTGATCAGAACACGGGGCCCAGGGCACCATGACCAGGCTGAAAGAAGGGACTGCTTTAGTTAGGGGGCAGAATTGGCCTGTGGAACCCACTGCCACAGAATGAGGCAGGGGCCAAAAACGCAGCAGGACAGGTCGGGCACGGCTGGGTCACCAGAGCATCCCAGGCAGGAGAAAAAGTGTGAAATCAGGGCTGGAACCCCGGGCACTGAGCAAAGGGGTAAAAGGCCCCATCTAGGCTTGTTATTCCATCACTGCCCTCTAGGGGGCTCCCTGCACCAGCCTCTGAAGCAGCTGATGTGAGTGGCTGGAGCCGGGAGACCAGGGTAGATGGGCTCATTCGGGAGGGTGATTCCTGTGTTCCAAACACGCAACCCCCCCCCACCGCACACACACACCTACTCATGCCCGTATGTTCAGATTCACCCCCCCCCACGCGCTTACTACATACTGCTCCACCCTTCCACACACCTGCACCCCCCTCCATGCACAAGCCCCCCTTTCCACATGCCCATGTCAGCACGCCCCCATCTACATCCCCTCCCCCATGCAACCCCCACCCCACACACACACACACCAGGGCTGTGGGTTCTCACTGCCACGCTGCCTGTTACAATCACGTCTCTGTGGCAGGCCTGGTGTGGGTGAGGGGGAGGTTTGGCTCGGGGGTATTTTTCCCAGCAAGCACTGCAGGATAATTGCCCAAACTACATGAGCTCTGTGGAGGGGGTTTCCTGGGGGGCTGAGAGCCCCAGGCTGGGGGCCCCTCATTGTTTGGCTCCCTATTGTCTCCAAGCTGAGGCTGAGTGTCCAAGATTGGAGTAATAAATATCCAGGAAGACCTGCTTCCCTGATGGTATTTCACCTTTAACGGCCTCTCTGGCTCAGTCCCCCAGCAGAGAGCGGGAGAGAACAAAGCAAGGGAGAGAGAGAGACAGAAGAACAGCATGAAAGGAAGCCAGAAGGGAAGAAAGAAACAGAAAGAACAAAAGAAAGAAAGAGGAGCGGGGCGGGAAAGAAGGAACGGATGTTAGAACGAACGAGGCAAGCGTGCAAGCGGGAGGGGGAGCGGGAACGGCGGGACGGCAAGAGGAGGGGTATAAAGAGAGAAGGGGGGAATTAGGAACCCTCCTTCAGGCCCACACTGCCCAGCTCCCCTTGGCCGCGCTGCCTCCTGTGGCAGGAAGTCCCGCAGGGTAACAGGTAACACGTTTCCTTTTGGGGGTTCTAAGCTCGCGGCTGCTTGGGACTCCCCTGGGGCTCAGGACCCAGTGAGCAGCCCCCAAAGGGGGAACAGGGATGGGCCGGGGGAGTCACTCGGTAAAGCTAAGTAGGGTTCAAAGACTCCCTCTGTTCTCCCAGTGGGAGGGAGAAGATGCTGGTACGACCCACTCCCTCCTCCCCCTAGCGCCTGTGACCTGGGGCATGGACCCCTCGGGGGACTGGGGGGGGACTCCTGGTGCCCGTGCCCCAGGGTGCAGATCCCTTGTGTGTTGGGGAGTGATTCCTGGGAGTTCTCTGACCAGACGTTAACCTGAGGGTACCTCTGGTGTCAAAGATGAAAGAACCCCGGTGTCCTGGCCAGTCTGATGGCCTAGGTCCAAGAGGGGGCCATGGTGGGGGAAGGGGGAGACCTGGGGGGAGTGGTCAGTGTTTAGGAGCGAGCAGAGTCCAGAGGCAGATGGAGCTGAGCCCCCAGAGTCGCTCCCCCCAGCTGGGAGTCAAGCATGCTGTTGTAATTGCAGAGAACGGCCACGGGAGGGCGACATTGCTCCATTTATCCCCCCTCCGCAGCCTGCTGAACCCCTGACCTGCCTATGCCAGGGTGGGGGTGGGGGGTTCTGTTCCCCCCGCCCAGGTCATAGCTGAGGACTGGCCAACTCATCTACTGTCAGAGGCCGCGGCGGGCGGCTAATGGAAGGGAGAGGAAAGAAGTGGGGAGAGAGTGGAAATGAACAGACATCTGGACCAGCCCCTTGGAGGATGCATCAAATGGGGGAGGGGGACACAGGAGAAAGGGGGTTCAAAGTCTCCTGTGACCTCCACAGCAAAAGTGTGGGACCCAGCCCCCCTGAACTAACCCCCAGGCCCCACTTCCCTCCCAGAGCTGGGGACAGAACCCCGGAGTCCTGCTCCCACACCCTGACCCCCAGGAAGTTCCCACAGCCCTAGCCAAGGCTGGAGCCAGGGCGGATTTGGGAGCTGCCTGGTGCCAACCAGCTGGGGGAGCAGGTGGTGGGAGCCTGGAGAGGGCCCCCCTCCCTTCCCTGCCCATCGCTGGCAAACAGCCGTGGCTAATGAGATGGCAGCTGCCCTGCCCCGGGGGAGCCCTGCCTGGGTCCCGGGGACATGAGCCCAGGTTGCTCTAGCAGCCGACGGCCCCGGGGAACGGCCCCGTCCACCCCTTCTCCGATTGCATCAGCCTTGCCAGGGAGAGCAGGTGGCAGGAGCTAACGAGGGAGGGATCGGGGGGGCGGGTATGGGGGGAGATGTTGGAGCTCCCTGGCAGCAGGGATGCGGGGGGGGGAGGCATTGCCAGGAGGAGGAAGGTGGTGATCTCTCCACCCACCTCACCCTGCAACACTCCTGTTCCTGCTGCAAGGGCTTCTGGGAGTCTGGCTCACACAGGCCCAATGGTGGGAATTGAAGCTAGCATCCTGACTCCCAGCCACCCTCTGCTCTAACCACTAGGCACCACCCCCTCCCATAGCTGGGGATAGAACCCAGGAGTCCTGACTTTGCTTTATAACTGTGAAAATGTTTGTCTTGGTCTGCCACCCATCCAGCAGGGCTAGCTGGATCAGCCCGGCCATCAAGGACCATCGCAGTACAATGGCTGGGTTAATGGCACCTGGCAAATGCTGCTTGGAAGCTGAATGAAAGAAATCAAATAAAGCTACAGGAAAATCTTCCATCTCTTTGGCTGTTTGAACTTGGGGGGGGTGGGGGCGAGAAAGCAAACTGAAGCCAGAGATCCCCAGGGGCTGCCCCCTGGGTCCGCCCTGAGAGACACGTGGAATTGACAGATCACGACAACTCTCAGGAGCGAGCTGGTAACTCACTGGTGTGTGTTTGTTCGCTTGCTTTACTCTGTCACTAACTCGGATTCCTTCTCCCTAGTTAATAAACCTTTAGCTAGTTTGGTCCGGGCCTGGCTACAGGCACTGTCTTTGGTGTAGGACCAACCATCTGGGATCAGTGACTGGTCTCTTAGGGCTAGAAGCAACCTGAGTGTGGTGATTTTTGGTGTGAGTGACCATTTGTCACTCAGTCCCGTGTGTCTGGGTGACAGGATAGACTGGAGAGGCTAAGGGGACAGTCTGCGACTGATCCGGGAGTTCACAGTTGTTACTGGCTGGGTGAAATCTCATTATACCACACACCACCAGCTTGAGGGGTCTACCCTGTTTGCGACAGTCTGCCCTGAGGTTGGCACCCGCCGTTGTGAGCTGCTCTAGACAGTGTGACACCTACTTCCTTCCAGAACTAGGGATAGAACACAGGAGTCCTGACTCCCAGCCATCCCCCGCCGCTTTAACCACTAGACCCCGCTCCCCCAACCTCTGTGGATGTCTCACTGCTGCAGAGATGGGTCCTCCCTAAACCAGACAGCCCCTTTGCCAGCCAGGTAGCCATTCTCCACGGGGCTGTGCCAGGCTGTGGGGGGGGAGATGGAGCCAGGTTGGGGGGAAGCTGTGCCAGACGCGGGGGCTGTGCCAGGCTGGTGGGGGAGTTGTGCCAGACTAGGGGCTGTCCCAGACTGGGGGCTGTCCCAGACTGGGGGCTGTCCCAGGCTGGGGGCGGGGGACAGTGCTGCAGGGAGAGAAGACACAGCTGGGCCGTGGTTCCAGGAATTGGCCACACGGTACTCAGGAACGAAACCCTCTTTGGAAAAGCCAGAAACGCTGGTACAGTAATCGGAGTGTGCCCTCAGACCACACGCTGCCTGTGCCCGCCCAATGCCTGCCTGCCTGCTCTTTCTTCTGCTGGACTCCACCCACCCCTAGCCCTCGCCCCCAGATCTCACTGCTCCCCATCTCCCCCCCACAGCACAGCCTGCCTTGGAGCACCCCCTCCCCACACAGCCCCTTGGCTACTGAGGTGTACAGCATGGGGTGCGGGGGGGTGGGGTTGTGTGGAATGCCTGCAGCCCTCACTGGCAGATGCCATATGGACCTGGCATGGGAGATAGATAGATAGATAGATAGATAGATAGATAGATAGAACGAGTGAATGGGAATAGATAGATAGAAGGGGTGGATGGAGATAGATAGATACATAAGGACATAACAACGGCTGTACTGGGTCAGACCAAAGGTCCATCTAGCCCAGTATCCTGTCTACCGACAGTGGCCAATGCCAGGTGCCCCAGAGAAAGTGGACCACAAGGCAATGATCAAGTGATCTCTCTCCTGCCATCCATCTCCACCCTCTGACAAACAGAGGCTAGGGTCACCATTCCTTACCCGTCCTGGCTAATAGCCATTAATGGACCTAACCACCATGAATTTATCCAGTTCTCTTTTAAACGCTGTTATAGTCCTAGCCTTCACAACCTCCTCAGGCAAGGAGTTCCACAAGTTGACTGCGCGCTGCATGAAGAAGAACTTCCTTTTATTTGTTTTAAACCTGCTGCCCATTAATTTCATTTGGTAACCCCTAGTTCTTGTATGATGGGAATAAGTAAATAACTTTTCCTTATCTAATTTCTCCACATCACTCATGATTTTATATACCTCTATCATATCCCCCCCTTAGTCTCCTCTTTTCCAAGCTGAAAAGTCCTAGCCTCTTTAATCTCTCCTCATATGGGACCCGTTCCAAACCCTTAATCATTTTAGTTGCCCTTCTCTGAACCTTTTCTAGTGCCAGTGTAACTTTTTTTGAGATGAGGAGACCACATCTGTACGCAGTATTCGAGATGTGGGCGTACCATCGATTTATATAAGGGCAATAATATATTCTCCGTCTTATTCTCTATCCCCTTTTTAATGATCCCTAACATCCTGTTTGCTTTTTGACCGCCTCTGCACACTGCGTGGACATCTTCAGAGAACTATCCACGATGACTCCAAGATCTTTTTCCTGACTTGTTGTAGTTAAATTAGCCCCCATCATATTGTATGTATAGTTGGGGTTATTTTTTCCAATGTGCATTACTTTACATTTATCCACATTAAATTTCATTTGCCATTTTGTTGCCCAGTCACTTAGTTTTGTGAGATCTTTTTGAAGTTCGTCACCGTCTGCTTTAGTCTTAACTATCTTGAGCAGTTTAGTATCATCTGCAAACTTTGCCACCTCACTGTTTACCCCTTTCTCCAGATCATTTATAAATAAGTTGAATAGGATTGGTCCTAGATAGATAGATAGATAGATAGATAGATAGATAGATAGATAGATAGATAGATAGATAGATAGATAGATAGATAGAAGGGGCGGATGGGGATAGATAGATAGGTGGAGGGGGTGGATGGGGATAGACAGACAGACGATGGCTCTGGACAGCGAATTCGCCTGCTCAGGTTACGTGAAGCCTCTAGCCCGTGTGTCTCGGTTTCGTTCTCCGGGGAACCTTTGATCTCCCCCACCCTTGCTCCCCAGCTCAGAAACCGGCTTGTTTTCACTTTCACTAGATCTCCAGGCTGCGAGGGCAGGGAACTGCTGAGGGGCAGGTGACTCAAACACGCTGGCGTGTGCACTGCCCCCGTGGGGATTTCGGGGGGTAGCCAGTGATGTCACAGGGGCTCAGGGATTGGGGTGCACCTGGGGGGCTAACAGGCTGGGTGGGGGGTGAGGAGCTGGCACCCAGTTAAACACAAGTGATTCTTCCTCTAGCTGGAGGCAGGGGGGAAACAAGGTGACAGCCCTGAGCACCCAGGGAGAGATGGGGTTCCCTTGGCCTGGGGGTGCCGTATGGGGTGCGGTTGCGGCACGCTCACCTCTGGGACATGATCTTGAAGGCGTCAGGGAGGTAGCACTGCACGTTCTCCATCTGGAAGGGATCGGCGTCACAGATCTTGTCGTCCGTGCGCCCGTAGTTGGCGTTCTCCACCATGATGACGTCACTGCCTGGGCAGCGCAGCTCGATGGGGTAGCCCTCGCAGGCCAGTTCCCGCCGCACCAGGCCAAAGGGCAGCCCGGCACGGCTCAGACCTAGGGGAGAGAGACAGGAGGAGATGGTGAGAGGCGTGGTGGGTTATCTCCCCACTCCTCCTCCCCACACACATCTACTGCCTCAGTTTCCCCACCCTCTGAAGCTCAGGTGGCATCTGTAATTCATCTCCACACCTGCCCATGGAGTGAGCAGCCAGATCATGGCACTGGGAACCCGGACTCCTGGGTTCTATCCCCAGCCCTGGGAGGGGAGAGGAGTCTAGTGGTCAGAGCAGGTGGTGGCAGGGGACCTGTGGGGTCCAGCCTAGTTCCCATGGACCGGAGTCCAAATGAAACACCTGCCAGGACTTCACAGGCCGAGGACGGTGCCAGTGTTTGAGTAGCAGTGTGGTCTAGTGAGTGGGGCACTGGAGTGGGACTCAGGACACCTGGGTTCCATTCCTGGCTCTGCCACTGACCTGCTGGGTGACCGTCCCCTCTCTGTGCCTCAGTTTCCCCCACCCTTTGGTTAGCTAGGCTTTGGGGCAGGGGCTGTCCCTTGGGTGTCTGTGCAGCACCCGGCACAACGGGGCCCAGTATCGGTTAGGATTTGTAGGCGCTACCGTAATCCATATAATATAAGAGCAAGATCCTCTATCTTTCCCAGATAATGGGTGGGGTGGGGGGTGTAGCTGCCCATATGAAGTGACAGGATCAGGCCCCTCATGGAGGGAATCTGCTCCCTTGCCCCAGGGCTGCATTTTAAGGCTCACGTGTGGCTGGATGTTTTGCCCAGATCCAGACGTCTCTCACCACGCGCTCAGCTCCCCGCACCGCCCGTGACCCACTTTCCAGGCAGCGGCTGAGCCGACGTCTCGCCAATGTGCTGAGCAAATTCCCTGCAATCCCTCCGAATCCCCCCCCCCCCATCCTCCCATGTGACCAGGACCAGCCGGGAGGAGAGAGGAGAATTAAAACCACCCAGAGGGATTTTAAAGAGGAAACTAGGACTCTTGGATCTATCCCCAGCTCTGGGAGAGGAGTGGGGTCTAGGGGCTAGAGCAGGGGGGCTGGGAGCCAGGGGCCTGGGTTCTATCCCCAGCTCTGGGAGGGGAATGGGGTCTAGGGGCTAGAGCAGGGGGGCTGGGAGCCAGGGGCCTGGGTTCTATCCCCAGCTCTGGGAGGGGAAGTGGGGTCTAGGGCCTAGAGCGGGGGGGCTGGGAGCCAGGGGCCTGGGTTCTATCCCCAGTTCTGGGAGGGGAGTGGGGTCTAGGGGCTAGATCAGGGGGGCTGGGAGCCGGGGGCCTGGGTTCTATCCCCAGCTCTGGGAGGGGAGTGGGGTCTAATGGTTAGAGCAGGGGGACTGGGGGGGGCCTGGGTTCTGTTCCCGGCTTTACATTAACTGCTGTGTGGCCCTGAGGCAGACTGTAGATCTCTCCACTGCCCATCTCCCCAATGGGACAACAGCCTGGTTGCATTTAAGGCCAATGAAACAGAACAGGAAGAAGCAGATGCAATGCCTGCTGCATGCACCAGGGGGCGCTGCCTTAAGGGGCGGCTGGCTGCACAGACATATGCTGCTGCCCCCTGGAGGCAGCGCCTGGCACTGCCTCCAGTGGCTGCTTGGGGAGGGTGTTGCCTTTCCAGCGCTGCAGGCTGTGGGTTCAAGTCCTGCTGGGGGGGTCTGGGAGGCTCCCTGAGGGAGGGGGGGCTGTGCCCCCAAAGGGAAGGTGGGGACTGGCTACCAACATGGCTGCTGCCTATGTAATCCCCCCCCAACACACACAGTTGGGGGGTGAAGGGAGGTCTAAGAGTCGGGGCGCGCTCTAACCACTAGACTCCCCTCCCAGAGCTGCCGCCAGAACTCAGGTGTCCTGCTGCCGCACAGCGCTGTGAGCACAGAAGGGGAAGGGCAGTACACGGCAGGGGCCCCCTCACTCCAGGTTGGTGCAGCTGGGCTGGCAGTTCGTGCCCTGGCAGTGGTACGGGCAGGAAACCAAGGAGACCAGCCTCCCTCTGCCAGGACTTTGGGGAGCCCTGACTGCTGCTGGTTCCAAACCCCACCACCAGGAGGCGCTGGTTGGCCTGAAATTCCCCCACATTGTTCTGGCCCTTCCTGTCATGGGGGACGTTCTGAACTGGGATTTGTCCCCTGCCCAATATGGGCAGACAGGGAGGGGGATGGGGCCCACCCTGGCCAATGGGGCAGGAGGGGGTTGAACCTGGGACCGCCAGCATTAAAAGCATGTGAGCTCCTACCATGTGAGCTAAAAGAGCAGCTTTGTTAGCTGGCAGTGGAAGGAGGTTGTTATCCCCTATGTGGACCAGCCGCTGCCCGGATGGGGAGGGAGCACAGTGCATTTAGCTAGTGTGATACATCCCAGCCACCTCCCCTGATGGGGACCCTGGAACAACCTCCGCCCCAAACGCCTGTCGTCTGCGATCCCTGCCACATGTTCCGACAACTGCCCCCATCCCATTTCCTGAAGCCTGGGGCCTGATTCCCAGTGCTCCTGTCCCTAAGGGCTCTGTCCCAGGGGCAGAGAATAGCCACAGTGCAGGGCGCCCCGATCTGCCCCCTATGCCAGGGGCTGGCAGGTGTGGGGCCCTTACACCATTTCCGCACCGGGGGGTGGGATTCTCAGGGGGCCATGTGCAGCCCCTTTACGGCACTGGTGGAGGATGGGTCCGGCCGTCAGGCCCTGCAGCATTCTGAGGAGCGGGGCAGGGGGCAGGGCAATGCAGACAATGGGCCATGGTGTGAGCCCCCCGTCTCCCCGCGTCGGCGGCTTTGAACAGCACAAAGGTGCCTGGCTGCTGAGCGTGAGGCCGGGGCTTGAAACGCCAGGAGCGAGGGACTGAAGCGGGAGCCGCAGGACACAGAGCCAGGCAGGTGATTAAAGGGATGGCAGGTGCATTATGGGAGATTTGCTCACGTTCCCCCGACCTTGGCAGCTGCCCCTCAAAGGGGAGTGGAGAATGGAGCCGTCTCTGGCACGGCCCCTGTGGTGAGCGCGGGGCCTGACGGGGGAAAGGGGACAGGCCGGGTGAATGGGGGGGGGGCAGGCTGGGGCATGCGAGTATCTTTATGTGTGTGATGTGGGGTGGGGAGCGTGTGTTTGTGTGTGCAAAGGTGTGTATGTGTACAAGTGTGTTTGTATGTGCGCATGCATGTTTGTGTGTGCAAAGGTGTGTGTGTGTGTGCAATTGGCCATTTCTATGTGCAAGTGAGTGTGTTTTGTGTGCCCATTTGGGCATCACCTGTCTGTGCACACCTGTGCATGCATGTGTGTGTGTCCATTTGCCTGGTTATGTGTGTGTGTGTGTGTGTACTTATGTGTATGTGCTTGTGCATGGGTGTGCCTTGGGCTGTGTGTCCATGGGCTCATAGGGGTTAGGGAGCATGCATTTATGTCTGCACAACACTGCCCTCTGGTGGGCACAATATGAACTGCTCTGTTCTGTGTCCTATGCCCTACACTGCCCTCAGCCAGGGGGGATTCTCCAATGATTCTGGTTGAAATGGGAATAACAATAATATCTGAGACACACTTTGCCCCTGGGATATAGGAACACTCCATGGCCACATCCCCTGTAGACGTGATAGTGACGACTTAGCTCAGTTCCCAGAGCGGTGCCCCCTTGTGGTGGATCAGTCCAATCAGCCTTATGTTCTGCCTTTGCTCTCCCATGGGGCTGGGGGCAAGCCAAGCCTTGGGGCCCAGCCCCCCTCACTCACAGTAGAGTCCTTGTTTTAAATCTCCCCCCTCTCCCCTCCGCCCCCCCCCCCCGCCGTATCTTCCCGGATCTAACTTTAGAAACGGAAGCAGATAGCGCTGAGATGATCAGATTAAACAGGAATCTCCCCCACCCCCTGGCGTGGGGACCATGACGATGCTACCCATGGGCTGGGGGTGGGACGGGGCAGCCGTAAGTCTGTGCAAAGGGTCCCGTGCAAAGCGCACTCAGCGGGTATTGAGCGCTGCAGCCCCCTCCATGCACTTCCATCTCTGCTGTGTCCTCTTAACAAGCCCCCCCCCCCGCTCCCGTAACATGGTTTTCCCCAGTGACAGCAAGAGATAGTCCCTACCCCAATCTAAAGAGATGGGGAAACTGAGGCACAGAGCGGGAAATGATTTGCCCAGTGTCACACAGCAAGACAGTGATACAACCCAGGAGTCCTGACTCCCAGCCTCCACGCCCCAACTACTAGACACCACTCCCCTCCCAGAGCCAGGGATGGAACCCAGGAGTCCTGACTCCCCCCCACCCTCTATCCACTACACACCACCAGAACCTGAGACACCATCTAGGGGAAGGGGACGTTTCTCTCTGGTGACCTGTCCTATGTCTATCCCTTGCCCCACCCGCATTGGGGCCCCAGGGCTCCCCGTTTCGCTCTTCTGAGCACAGAATCATCCCCCACTACCCTGATTTCCACCTCCTCCCTCCCTGACATTTCCCTACGCAGCCGGCAGTGAGTGTGACTGAGGCTGGGCTGCCTACACAGAGCTGCGCTGCTGACTCACCCGACCACCAGACCTGGTGGCTCTCATTAATGTCACCCAGGAACCTCGGCGCCTCAGGGACAGAGCCGGATTGAAGCTTCCCTGGGGTGTGAATCTGGAGGAACTCCACTAAGCCCAGCTCCTGCTCTCCCCTGAGCCAGCTGTAACTGACATTGGGCTGCAGCCTGTCATCGCTCTCCCCTCTCCCATATTCCCTCCCCCCGCCCCCCTGCATTCAGCTCTCTTTGCTCAACACCCCGATCAAAGCTGGGAAGGGACCAGATTAACCGTTGGGTCCCATGTGCCCCTCCCAGTGCCTTCTTTGAAGTCTCCTGGCCTGGCGCCCTGCCCCCATTCTGACGCCATGCCCAGAGCTCCTACTCCGGCAGGCCTGGGCGAGCACCTCACGGGGTGTCGTCCGGAAAGGGGGGATGGAGGAGTAGAGGAAAGGAACAACGCAGGTAATGTCAACATCTGGGGATCTCGAGCCCCCCATGGGAGCCCCCCAAAGATGCCCCCTCTGATCCCCGCCAGCTCTCCCCCTGCTCAGCTGCACCCCGAAGGATTAACAGCTCGACAGCAGGACCCACCCGCACCGGGAACCCAGCGCCCCCAGATCGCCCTTGAGCAGAGTGTGGGCAACACAGGCACAAGAGCTTAATGATAATAACTGACCCTTGTCTGAACAGCAGAGTCAGAGATACCAGCCAGGGACTCATGGTAACAGCTTGGAGGGTATTGAGGTTGTTGAATGAGATCAGGACCCCGTTGTGCCAGGCTCTGCCCAGATCCCGACCGAGATCAGGGCCCCGTTGTGCCAGGCTCTGCCCAGAGCCCGACTGAGATCAGGGCCCCCTTGTGCCAGGCTCTGCACTGACCTGCACTAAGATCAGTGGAGACCGACCGGGAACCGCAGCCAATGGGAGCTGCGGGGGCGGTGCCTGCAGGCAGAGGCAGCGCGCAGAGCCGCCTGGCCATGCCTCCGCCTAGCTGCCAAAGGGCATGTCGCTGCTTCCAGGGAGTCCCCAGAGGTAAGCCCGGAGCCTGCACCCCTCACCCCCTCCCATGCCCCAAACCCCTGCCCCAGCCCGGAGCCCCCTGATGTTCCCCAAACCCCTCATTTCTGTCCCCGCCCCGGAGCCCGCACCCCCTCCCACACCCCAACCCCCTGTCCCAGCCTGTGAAAATGAGCGAGTGAGTGGGGGGGGAGAGCAAGGGACAAAGGGAGGGGGGAATGGAGTGAGGGGGGCGAGGCCTCAGAGAAGGGGCGGGGCAGGGGGCGGGGCAAATGTGTTCAGTTTTCTGCGATTAGAAAGTTGTCAACCCTCGGTGCTGCCCAGAGCCTGACCGAGATCGGGGCCCCCCTGTGCCAGTCGTGGATCACAAGAGAATCTTCCTCACTGCATCCGCCTCTTCCTTACAGAGGGGCTGTGGTGGGGGAGCCCAGGGCTGGGCTAGCAGGGGGCTGCGGGTCGGGATTGAGGGGCACCGGCAGAGCTGGGGAGAGGGGGAGACCAGGGCAGGGGCTGCGGGTCGGGCCAAGGGGATCTGCACAGTTGGGGGGCACCCCCGGCAATATTCTCCCCATTGGCCCTATGTGATGAACTGGGACTGTTCTTAATGTGGTCTTTGAATGCTGAGTGGGGAGTGTTGGCCTGGGAAAGTTGCAGGGGAGTGTGGCTAGGATGGTCTGCATTGGGAGATGGGAGACTGGCCTTGAGGGAAGATACCTGAGCATGTAACCTGAGAACCCAGGAAGGGGCTGGGGCCAGGTGACACCTCTGCCTAACTGAGGGGGTCTTGTTGTCTGTGCCTGCAAGGCCTGTCTTGGGCCGTGTTCCTGTGTCTAAATAAACCTTCTGCTTTACTGGTTGGCTGAGAGTCATGGTGTCCCCCCACACTCCGTGTCCCCCCACACTCTGTGACACCCTGTCAGCCCCTAAAGCTGGGTGGTAAAATCTGAGAAGCCAAGACCCCCATGGGACCAGAACCCCCCACCCCCAAAAGAGCCAGGAGTGTCCCTCCGCTCCCCCTCGCAGCCCTGCAGTGCCCCCCTTTCCCTGTCGCTGTGAGCACTGGGGGACACGTCTCCCCTCTGGGGGGCACTGCAGGGTGGGGGCCCAGGCTGTTCCACAGCCCCTAGTGGTGACACTGGGCAATGCAGGCTGCAGATCCAGGGGGAACCCAGGGTCTATCTGCATCCCAGGTGCAGCTGGGGATCGGGCGCCCCCTGGAGATCCCCAGACCCCCTCTGCCCCCCCTGCCTCCCCCCGCCCACTGTGGAGCCCCCATCCTACCTTGTGTGGCTGAGGTGACGAGGATGGCGGTGACGCAAAGGCTCCAGAGGGCGTGGGCGAGACGGGCCATGGCGCCGGCCGGGGGATTGGCACGCTCACTCCCTGGCACGGCTCTCAGCGGCCCGAGCCCGGGGCCTCTCCCGGCATCACACAGGAGGGACGATCCGGCAGACAGCGAGCCTGGGGGAGGGAGGGGGGAGAAGCCATGAAACAAGCTGGGGGGGGCTGCAGGTTCACCCCATCCCATGCACGGCAAGAGCCCCCCTTCTCCATCTCCCAGCCCAAAAGCACCACCATTGGAGAGGGGAATTCCTCCCTCTGACCAGGGCCAACACGCCCCCCCCCGCCCGGACCTTCTATTCTCCAGGTCAGGGACTGACAACACCCAGCCCCACTGGCTTCCCTAGTCCACCGCCAGCTAGGGCAAGCCCTGGCACGGGAAGGGTTAATAACGGGCTGACACAGCTCTGGGAGATGCGTGGAAGAGTGGGGGGGAGGGGTACCGGAGGAGGGGGGGCTGGAAGTCAGGACTCCTGGGTTCCCTCCCCAGCTCTGGGGTTCCTGTGCCTTAGTGTTGAGTGCTGCACCCCGGGGATGCCGGCCGGGGGCCCAGCCATGCGGGTAATGCCAGCTCCCCCAGGGCAGTGCTGACACCTGCGCGCCAGGCTCCAGTGCCCCGGCTGGCAAAGCCCCTGCAGGTTCCTGTCCGATGGCTCGGCCGAGGCCTCTGCGCTCATCAGTGTCACCGCTCCAGTGCAGCGCAGCAGCTCGGTGGCCCCGGGGGACCCTGGCGACTCGAGGGGGGCCCTGGGGGAGAACAGCTGAGCCATGAAGGTGGAACCACCTTGGGCAAAGAGCAGAGTGCTGGATCATAGAGCTGGCTTCAGACAGGACTCCTGGGTCTGGGAGGGGAAGGAAGGGGGGGCTAGTGTGGAGAGCAGGGGGGCTGGGAGTCAGAATTCCTGGGTTCCATCCCTGCCTAGGGGAGGGGAAGATGAGTAAGGACTAAGGACACCTGGGTTCTACTCCCAGCTCTGCTGAGTGAACTTGAGTCCAGTCCCCCTTGTGCCTCAGTTTCTCCATCCCTGATATGGGAGGAACAGCCCTTCCCAACTCCAGCAGGGGTGGGGGTTAGGCACTCAGAGCTTCTATAGTCACGGAAAACTAGAGCTCTGTCTCCCGAGCTGTGTCCCCCCCCCCCTCACCTGTTGCTGGAGGCCTCGTAGCACTGAATGGGGCTGGGGGCCCCCAAAGCCCTGCACTAGGGTTGGGGGGACACTTGGGCAGGAGAGGGGGTGGATGGGGTGAAGGTCAGAGACAGGCAGCTCTTGGGGGCGGCCCCAGCAGACCCCCCCCCCTCGGAGCAGGGGGTTCTAGTCATTCACCCAGGGATGAGCCAAGCCAGGGATGCCAACATGTAGCAATGGGCATGGGGCACGGGCGGGCAGAGGGGTGTCTGAGCCCCTCATAAATTTCCCAGCCCCTCAGTGGAGAACAAAGGAGGCCGGCTCGGGGGGGGAACTGGGGGGGGGGCCCTGCTGCAGCCCCCCCCCCATATCACAGCCTGGGAAGAACAGCGTGTGCTGGGAAGGAGGGGGCCCCCTGCTAGGTCTTGCTGCCAGCACATCCTAGCCACTCATCTCCCAGTCCCTGGGCACGGGGAGATGGCAAATGAGCCTCTCCCCCCCCCAGCCCAGCCCTGCACTGCACTGGGGTCAGCACAGACTGCGAGGGGAGAGCGCCCCCTGCTGAGCCCCCCACCCGCTCCCTGCAGCACAGCGCCCCCTGCTGAGCCCTGCCTGCTCCCTGCAGCACAACACCCCCTAGTGTCGCACTGGGGCATTGGGGTCAGCACTGACTGCGAGGGGAGCGCGCCCCCTGCTGAGCCCCCCACCCGCTCCCTGCAGCACAGCGCCCCCCTGTTCCCTGCAGCACAGCGCCCCCTGCTGAGCCCCGCCTGCTCCCTGCAGCACAGCACCCCCTAGTGCCGCACTGGGGCATTGGGGTCAGCACTGACTGCGAGGGGAGAGCGCCCCCTGCTGAGCCCTTGGCCTCACCCCCTAGTGACAGACTGCAGATCTCCCCACCATCTGCGGTCCCAGCTCATCCCTGCTTAGCCAGAGATGGGATCTAGTGGTTACAGCTGGAGGGCTGGGAGTCCGGACTCCTGGGTTCTTTTCCCGGCTCCGGGAGAGGGCTGGGACGGAGCAGTGAGAACAGGCCAGGCTGAGTGCCGCTGGGTTGTTGAAGGATCCCGGACACTGGGATACCCCCGTGGACTGGGGCCCTGGCCAGCAGGACCCCGGCTGTGCCATCCGCGCATCTCTCCCTCCCGCCCGTCTGCAGGAGCTGGGGCTGGAGCGCAGGCAGCACATGTGAACGGAGCTTTCCAAGGCTCTCCTAATTATGGCTTCCTGGTCTCTCCAGGAGGTGGCTCGGTCTCTTGGGCGAAGACGCCGCGGTTTAAGAAACTGCCTAATTACATCTAAAACTGCCAAATTATGGGAGATCAGCCGGGAGGGAGGGTCTGGTGTGTGGCACGCCTGGGCTCTAGCCCCAGCTCGGGGAGAGGAGTAGGGGTTATTGGTTAGACCGGGCAGCTGGGAGCCAGGACTCCTGGGTTCTATTCCTGGCTCTTGGAGGGGAGCGGGGTCTAGTGGTCACAGCAGGGTCGGGGGGGGGGGTTGGGCATCTGGCCTCCTGGGTTCCCTTGCCACATCCTGGTGTGACTCATGAGCAAGTGCTTTGCTCCCTTCTGTGCCTCGGTTTCCCCATGTGTAGAACGGAACTAATGAGGGTGGGCCCAATGCTTAGACGACCTGGAAGGTTTTGGTGATGCAAATGCTTTGAGACCCTTGCTAGATGCAAGTCGGGTCCTGATCGTTATCAGGAAGAACCAGAACTGGACCCTCACGCTACTGCAGGGGTCGCTGTGGGGCAAAGTGATCACCATGGTAACCTAGCTAGGGCCAGGCGAATCGCTCAGATGAGGGCCCTGCATCAGAGCCCTTTCCCAGCGGGTCGGAGCAGGAACTGAGGGGTCCGGGCCAAATTCTAGCGTTAATTCTACAATCCTGGTCACTTCATTTCCCTCCTGTAGCTTCTTCACGTGGAATAGCCACTTGTTCTTGTTCTAAAGTGTCTGACAGTGATGGTGGGTGGCACGCCTCACCCCAGAAGTGGCTGCATCTCAAGGTTGAGTGAAGGATCCCTGTGCTAATACTGTGTGACAGCTAAACAGCTGCTAAGCCCCACCCCAGAGGCAGTGGAACCTCAGTGCTGGGTGAATGATCCCCAAATGGTGTCTGTGTGTGCTGCCAAGCAGCTGCCATGCTCCACCCCAGAGGTGGCTGCCTTTCAATGCTGGGCAGGTGAGTCTCGTACAGTGTGGCTGCACGGTTGTCAAAGAACAGCCGCGCCCCACCCCAGAGCTGGCTGCAATGCTCAATTTATACAGCGCCCCAGCTCCATTAGGGTGCAATACACTGGCTGCAACGCAAGACCAATTTTCCAGCCTGGGGCCACAAAGTGGGTTTCAGTCCCCCACACCCTGCTTGTGCCATGTCCCTGTTTAGCGTCTCCTCGCAAAGGTGCCTCCCAAGCTCCGTGGAAAGCCCCAGCAAAGGGCAGCGAGATGAACAAGCGTCTGGAAATCTCCTGCTCTAGCGCCAACAGATTTATCGGCCTTCGGAGCCCTGGATTCCTGACCCAGCAACAGCAGTTCCCTGGAAACTCCCCACAGCCCATCCACTGGGCAGCGCCCAAGCAACGGGGCTGCCAAGTCTGCACACACAGGAGGCTCCTTTCTATAGCATAAGACACACAATTATTATCCGCATTAAGGTTGTGACCAGGATGTGGGGGGCCCCATTGTGCCAGTTGCTGCACGGATCCCGACCGTGGTCAGGGCCCCCCTTGTGCCTGGCGCTGCACAGACACAGCGAGAGGTTGCCCCTACCCCATAGAGTTCACAATTGAAACAGACAAAGGGAAGGATCAGTCCCCCTTATTTTACAGAAGGGGAAACTGAGGCACCAGGCGACGCAGTGACTCACCCCAGGCTGCATGGGGAGTCAGTGGCAGAGCAGGAATCGAGCTCAGCTCTCGTGAGTCCCAGCATCTGACCCACAAGCCCAACCTGCATCAGTGGGTCACGACCTGTTAGCCCTGCAGAGACGGGCTGGGCCTTTTGCAGCAACCCCTAGGGCTGGGGCTATTTTAGGACACGCCGTATCCCAGTGCCCAGTGGGCAGGACGGTCCCCACCCCCTCTCCAGGAACACTTCCGGCCTGGATCCTGCCTCTGCGCTCCGGGGCACGGAAGCTGCCGTCAAATGAGAGGGAATTTGGAGCAGTGCAGCGAAAATGATTAAGGGTCTCGGAGGATTAAATTACAAGGGGAGATTAAAAGAACTAAATACGACTAGCTTGGCTAGACGGCGGCTAAGGAGCGCTCCGATAATTGTCTGGGAGTAGCTGAAGGATGTAAATATCGAACGGGGGGGTGGGAGGGGAATTATTTGAGAGGAGATTTTAAACTCAAGTGCAGCGTGGTCATGTGGTAAAGCACTGGAGCAGGATGCGGGAAATCTGGGCTCAAATCCCACTGCTGACACCAGCAGGCCGGGTGAATCAGTTCACTGCTTTGTACCCCTATTTCTCTTGTAATATGCAAATCCTCCCTCGTTCTGTTAGAAGGACGGTCCTGGGCTTAGAGAGGAAGGCAGCTAGGGCACTAAGATGGGCTATGGGGAAACCGGCTCCCCTCCGCTGCAAATATTCTGTGTGACCCCTGCGGGAGTCTCTCTGTGCCTCCATTTCTCCATAGGTAACATGGAGATAACAGTCCTGCCCTACCGCACAGGGGGGCTCAGATACTATGGGAAGGGGGCTCTTAGGGGCTGGCATTGCCTCAGTACCATGGTGGTGGGGGGTTTCAAGGCCCAGCTCCTGGAGTCAGAAGAACCCTTGCTCCTGTGGCCCTGGGGGCAGCAGGGAAAAGCTGGCTTCAGAGGAGAAAAAAAGAAACCTGAATTCATGTTATTTTGTAAAACAAATCTCATGATTTTAAGCCCATCTCGCAGTGTTGGGGGCCCGGTTCACGTCCGAGGTTGGCAATGCTGCCATCTCTCGCTACGTTTGCACAGCCCCTGGCACAACGGGTGCCGAGCTCAGTTGGCG